AACGCAGGGGTCCCCCAAGGCTCGGTGCTTGGGCCATTATTCTTCCTTGTTTACGTTAATGATATTGTAGAAAATTTGCTATGTATAACTCGTTTATTTGCAGACGACACCTCTTTGTCTGGTACAACATCATCAATATTCGATCTAGAAGGAATTATTAATCATGATTTAGCTTTCAAAATTGATAAACTTATGGTCTAAAAAATGGCTTGTAGATTTTAATCCTAACAAAACAGAAGCGATTATTTTTACTTTACAATCCAACGTTATCAATCCAAAATTACAATTTGATAGCATACCGGTAAAATTTGTTGAAAGTCATAAACATTTAGGATTAACTTTTAGTTCTAATGGAAAATGGCACGATCATATTAAAATATAACATTATCGGCTTCTAAATTACTAGGTCCAATGAGAAAACTGAAATATTCCCTTAACAGGGAAAACCTAAACCAAATTTACATTTCATTTCTTATACCTCTTTTAGAATATGCTTCTGTAGTCTGGGATGGGTGTACAAATTATGAAAAAGATATATATTTAATTTTACAATTAAAGGCAAAGCTCCTCATTGCAGTTATAAAACAAAAAAGTCAGATTTTTGTTTTTTAATTTCGTTATTGATATTTTCATTACTTAGTAAAAATTCTATCATAATTTTAATCTGAATTGTTTTAATAAATGTAAATCATTTTTCAGATAGGAATTAATTGTCTGTAATTCAAGACTTTGAATACACAATAAAGTAATTTCGAATGTAAAATAATTGCAAGTCTGCTGTCTAACGACTGATTGACTTGACATACTTTAGCTGAACTTCACTGAATCCAATTGCACGAATTATAACTAATTCCTGCATTAGTCGTCGTTATATCTTTGGGCTACTAAGTAAGAACAAAAATATGGCAGGTTGCAGCGAAAGAATTTGTGTTAATTTTGCTTTGAAAGAGGAACTCCTAAGGATTCCGGGCATAAGTTCAAGGATAGCTGAGTCTATTATTACAATCCGTAATAGTGAAGGGAATATAACACTTTGAGTGCTGCAAGACATGTTAGAGCGCACTTTAGATGAAGAAGAAGTAGCTCTGCTGGACTTCTCACCAAGTGAGGGGTGGCCATTAGATTGGGGGAAGTGTTTGAGAGGTGGGCGCGTCCCAAGCTAAACGCAGCTGCTAGGTATGATGATTCTTCAAGTGATGAATTATCTGGACTGAGTAGACAATCTTCTCCGCAACCTAGAGTTAAACATAGCGCGAAAAAGTTCGAGACTGCAGCATTTATTCGGAGTCTGCCGAAGAGGTTGCAGTATGATGGAAAGGGAAACTGGCTGGCTGAAGCATGCGATTGGACGTCAGACGAATGCCTTGATGGTTTATGCTGGTGCCTGACTGGAAAAGCCACTGACTATCGTGCAATCATCGTGGAGAGAGAAGGCGATATTTCTTATCGGAAGCTCTTGCAGAAACTGGAGATGAGATTTGGTTCCAGGGAACTTACTGAAACAGCCCAAGTGTGTTTCCAGCAGTCTTCACAGCTGCAGGGAGAGTCTCTTGATGATTGGGCGGATAGGGTCATGACCCTGGCTACAAATGCGTTCAAAGACCTGCCTGAATACTACTCCAATAGGCAGACAGTGAGCAAGTTTTGTGAGGGTCTGGTAGACAAAGATGCCGCGGTAGCCGTAGCCATGGATAGACCTTTAACCATGGAGGAGGCAATGAATAAAGTCCATTGGTATCAGCACCTGCATCAGTCAGTTTATGGCCGTTCTAAGAAGAGGGCTAGTAAAGAAGTTGTTGACGATGGCGCTAATGTGTTTGCCCTAGAAGAAGCTCCTGAGGTTGCGCAAGCCAACGCTGCTCCATCTCAGTTGAGTTCTTTGGAAGTGGCAATTGAGAAGCTTCAAAGATGTTTTGACAAAATGGTCCTGTTACTGGATGAGGAGAAGACTTCTCAAGGAAGAAGCAGATGGCCTAGAAGAACTTGTTTCGGTTGTGGGAAAGAGGGTCATTTCAAGTCTGACTGCCCCTCACTGCAATAAAAAAAATCAAATAAAAAGGGGAGGAGGAAGTATGTGTTCTTCCGGTTAGCGCCAGAGTCGCAAACCAGCGTCATTTCATGCTAAGCATGGAGTGAGACCAGGTTTGTGAAGGAAACAGTTATGGACTAAGTTCCATGCTGGATGTATTCTCGATGTAGACAGCATGTAAAGAAACATTAGCAAGTGTATTGCAGAACAGTTCAATTCGAGGATCATTTGGTATTTCCAGGGAAAGAAGCAACACAGACAGTTTAAGCCAGGTCGAGGAGGGTTGTTCCATAGCAACATAATCCGATGTGTTTGTCAGAAGCATGTGAAAGCTGCATTGTCACGAATACCGGTATCGGGGAATTGTACAAGTATGTTTCTGGGGTCGAACTGAGGAAACTGCCTTGTGGGGGATGTGATCATTGCGCAAGGGTTGACTTGGACCTCGTCATGAGGGACGTAGATATGGCAATTCTCTTGGTATCGCAAGGTGTGCGAAGATGAAGTTTGACCGTGAAAAGTCATAAGGTATCGTCGCAATAATGTCGATAACCAGGTTTCACGAGGTGTACGAAAGATGAAGTTTGACGAAAGTCATAAGGTATCGTCGCAAAAATGCTGATAATCTGGAAGAGGTTTGCGGATCCATTATATTGTCAGTAATTCCAAGGTCACAAGGGTCGCAAAGGTTCACAGGGAAGCAAATGTCCAAATGTTGGGATTGTAGGCACAGAATTAGGTCAAGGGTGCTAAAGTTTTAGTGTGTTTGAAGATGCTGTAAGATTGTGAGCAGATATTGAGAATACAGATCGATGTTCTTGTGGTGGAAGGGGAAATAGGGCACAGTTTTGAGTAATGGAACAACTTCCACAAGAAGCTGTAGAGTAACTTCCGCCAGCAGTGCTAGTTCTAAGAGCTAGTGCTGGGTTTTTAGCATTTCCAAAGTCATTAAGTAGTTCTAGTAGGTCCTGGGGCTAAGTCCCACTGGCTGAATAAGGAACAGTACCTATGAATAGACTAAGTTCTATGAGGGACATGGGCGATACTAAAGGTAGGATTCCCAATAAGTAGAAAGGTTCTTCAGATGAGGCAGGATATACCATCAGGTGGTCACGGGGGTGTTGGAGTGACCAGGGCCAGGTTTAAGAAGACATTCTTCTGGTATGGCAGGGGTCCGGATAGTGCAAGTCATGTGACGACATGTGGAATTGCATTTGCAGCATGAAGACTGATGGTCATGGGCAGGTTGGCACAACAGGTCCTGTTCTGAAGATACAAGAAGGGAAAAACTGAGGTAACAGCCAAAACGGCTGTGGTGCCTTTGGTACTGTTGGGAGATTTTATTGAGAAATAACAGAAGCCTGGGATATTAACAAGTACAAATGTGCAATGCTAAGTTTGTTGCTTTCTTGTTCTGTGTTAATGTGGCTGCTGTGGTGTAAAAAGGAGCTCCATAAATCTGTAGTCAACACTCAGGTTTGGTGTGGAGGTGTAAGCTGCAATCAGTTAAGGAACTGGACGTTGGCCGCTGTTAAAACAGTGCCCAGGAAGGTAAGATATCTAAGATATCAGTTATCCAGTTAAACTATCTGTCAATAACTTGTCAGATAGGCATTTGGCAGATTACTGTTGCACAGGCTAATGCCTGCCCACTTATAATCTGTGTTTACAGGCCAACGCCTGTAAAGGCGGTTTTGTGGGTACTGGTTTGAAACCCAGGAGTGGACTCTAATCTCGGGTTTCCGCACTTCCAGTGAGAGGACTTCATCTTTAAAGTCGGGGGGAGTGTGGTGAGGTATGGTAGTGTAACCGTTATCCGGAACATACCGTTCCGGGAAGGTACTGTAAAATCATTATTATTCGTTTGGCACGAATTTTCGTGGTTTTCGTGGGTAGGTCAATCAACGAATTTAAGATCCAACGAAATCTTATCCCAACAAATACTGTTTGCCATGTCTCTATTCTATATAATACAAACATGCATTGAGGCTTTTCCGCCAATTTTTGTGTAATGAATGCCCAGAGGCAAGGACAAGCGCGTGTGATACAGAAAGATATGTACATGCTGTTAGTAAAAATACGCAGCGATAAAGTGTAAGATTACTTTGCAATAGGTTATTTATTTTATTTTTTACAAGAAATTGAAAATCCACGAATTTAAGAACCCACGAAAATGCCCGTTTTGAAAAAAACACGAACTTTCATGCCCACGTATATAAGTGAATTCGCAGTACGAGATTTAGTCTGGGCAAGACGAATACGATTCCTAGCCGCCATCTTGTAAGAAGGTTATTAGAACGGCAAGATAAATCCGAAGAATCTGAGAGATATAAATAGTCATCCGTACAGGGAAAGTGTTTCAAGTTAAGCAGAACACTTTAGTTGAAACGGAAGTGCAAAACATCATTTCAATAGAAAACATTATAAACATCCATACTAGCAATTGTATCATAGTTTGGGGACCTTTCTGTAGAAAATGTGACAGAGTTAAATCGTATACATATACATGCACAGTGCGTTCATTTGAGTGCAGGTATTAGTTACCCCAGTCCAGAGTATGTCCTTTGATTGGTTCATTTTGTCCGGCGTTTACATATTGTGACGACAGAGAAAAGTATAGCGATGGAAATATCATATTCAGATACTCGTTCATTGGTAACTGTTTTGTGGGGTTTACTATTGAGGTATCAGGGAACGTGTTTTTATGTTTGACTATGATGCAAAAGAGAAAGAACATCAAAACACTAGGCAATCTGATTCAAATCAGATAGCCTTGTGTTTCGATGCTTTTTCTATTACTTGTCACACTTATTTCCTACAATACTTTTATATATTAACACAAGTTAACACAAGTTAACATTAGGAAAAGCATCCTTGGAAATATCTGAGTTAATGAAACGGTTTAGTTAAACCAACAAACCAGCTAGAGCATGGCCGTACACTTCACTTGATCACATGACGGAATTACACATACTGTTACTGTCAGTTTATTTCATAAAATAAAATAAGACCATCTTTACATATAATCTCATTCAATTATAAAAGTTATTGCTGAAACATTATCTCACGTTCAAGTCTCGAAATATTGCTGAGTGTCTTCTGTTTCTTTGAAGGGGTTTATGCAGCTATTAGATAAACAACAAGCAAAGCAAAAAATCTGAAAAATAGAAAAAAAAATTAATTTAAATTGTATTCAATTATTTTGGATGATAGAAAAGAAGCCGATACAGAAATTAATTTCTTCCAGATTGAACAACGTTTTTAACGTGCAATATGTAAAGGACCATTATATGGGATCTTTGTTTAACCAATTACTTCATAAGCATTTTGTGAAAAATGGCTGTTTTCATTGAATAGTCTCCCGTTACAAATTCAAATTGCTATAAAACTATAACAAGAGCCACCGCCGGGCGGGGGCAACGCTCGACTTTTTACTTTTTCTAAACGCAAACATAGGAAGGTTTGAACATATCTTAACGTTTCCTTTTTATGAATTTAGTTGGTCTGTCTTGTTATATTAGTTTTGTTTATATATTTTGTATATATATATGAATAGAAACATTACGCAATTTCTAAAAATAGCAACATTACGCAATTTCTAAAAAATAGCAACATGACGCAATTTCTAAAAATAGAAACAATGACGCAATTTCTAAAAAAAGCAACAATGACGCAATTTCTAAAAATAGAACCAATGACGCAATTTCTAAAAATAGAAAATGGGACGCAATTTCTATAAAAAGCAACGATGACGCAATTTCCAAAAAAAGCAACGATGACGCAATTTCTATAAATAGCAACAATGACGCAATTTCTAAAAATAGAACCAATGACGCAATTTCTAAAAATAGAAAATGTGACGCAATTTCAAAAAATAGAAACAATGACGCAATTTCTATAAAAAGCAACAATGACGCAATTTCTAAAAATAGAAACGATGACGCAATTTCTAAAAATAGCAACAATGACGCAATTTCTAAAAATAGAAACGATGACGCAATTTCTAAAAAAGAGCAATAATGACGCAATTTTTAAAAATAGCATCAATGACGCAATTTCTATAAATAGAAACGATGACGCAATTTCTAAAAATAGAAAATGTGACGCAATTTCAAAAAATAGAAACAATGACGCAATTTCTATAAAAAGCAACAATGACGCAATTTCTATAAATAGAAACGATGACGCAAATCCTAAAAATAGAAACGATTACGCAATTTCTAAAAAAAGCAACAATGACGCAATTTCTAAAAATAGAAACGATGACGCAATTTCTATAAATGGAAACAATGACGCAATTTCTAAAAATAGAAACGATAACGCAATTTCTAAAAATAGAAACAATTACGCAATTTCTAATAATAGAAACGATGACGCAATTTCAAAAAATAGAAACGATAACGCAATTTCTTAAAATAGCAACAATGACGCAATTTTTAAGAATAGCAACAATGACGCAATTTCTATAAAAAGAAACAATAACGCAATTTCTATAAATAGCAACAATGACGCAATTTCTATAAAAAGAAACGATGTCGCAATTTCTAAAGATAGCAACAATGACGCAATTTCTAAAAATAGAAACGATGACGCAATTTCTAAAAATCGAAACGATGACACAATTTCTATAAAAAAAGAAACAATGTCGCAATTTCTATAAATAGAAACAATGACGCAATTTTAAAAATAGCAACAATGACGCAATTTCTATAAATAGAAACAATGACGCAATTTCTATAAATAGTAACAATGACGCAATTTCTATAATAAGCAACAATGACGCAATTTCTAAAATTAGAAACAATGACGCAATTTCTAAAAATAGAAACAATGACGCAATTTCAAAAAATAGAAACAATGACGCAATTTCTATAAATAGAAACAATGACGCAATTCTATAAAAAGAAACATTACGCAATTCTTGTTGTTGTTGTAAATATATATATATACACACACACACCAATAAATATATAATTATCTTCTTTTATCCACAAATCTGAGAAAATTCAGTAATTTAACCTTCACGGTAAAGGTCATTAAAGAGCCCAAGCAATTTGGGTTTGATAAACAACAAGGTCTGGTCCTTAAGAATGTTCTCTTATAATATGAAGTTGATCCCTTCAATAATAGCAAAGTTACAGTCAGTTACCGCCAAAACAATGAAAATTTCAATAATTTGACCTTCAAAGACAATGTCATTAATGAGTAAAGGTCAAGGTCTTTCGGTATATTTTTAACAGTTATCTTTGAAGATTATTATGTTCAAGTTTCAAGACAATCCATTCAAAAATAACAAAGTTACAGCCAATAATAGCCAAAAAAATGAAAATTTCAATAATTTGACCTTCAAAGTCAAGGTCATTTATGAGTGACGGTCAAGGTCTGTCTGGTTATTTTTAAGGGATATCCTTGAAGATTATTATGTTCAAGTTTGAAGACAATCCATTCAAAAATAGCAAAGTTGCAGCCAATAACAGCATGAACAAGCAAAAATTGGACTTTTAACCTTGAAGGTCATTTATGGATGAAGGTCAAGGTTAGTGTGATCTACTGAAAGGTCTTGTCCCAAGGGTTGTTGTGGCCAAGTATGAAGACAATACACCAAGAAAAAAAAGTTATGATCCAGGTACAAGTTTGCGGACGGCAACGGCAACGCCGACCCGACTATAACAATACCTCTACTTTAAAAAAAAAAAGTCGAGCTAAAAACTGCTTCATTATTTATCAAACTTGGCACAAATGTTGACTGGACCATTGCCTTTGTAACATGCTCAGGCTTAAATTTCCTGTTACCATGGCAACGAGGGGGCATCTCAAAATTGCCAAAAAATAACTATTTTGCGTTAATTTCTTCCATCAAAATTGATTTCAAAGTGCTGCAACTTTTCAATGGATTGAGATAGAGTCAAAAAGGACCAACTTGCGATCATAAGTTTTGCAACGTAAGAAAAACGCCGCTAATACAAAGCCGTTCTTTATGAGGTAATGAAGAATCTATTTCTTCTTTTTCTAGAGGCGACTTTTCTTTCACGAACTACTTTTACTTTGATTTTTTTTCTTTTTTCTTTTTTCGCAAGAACGTTTTGTTTTGTTTGGTTTTTTTACTGAAGAAAACTGTTTGAACTCTCGCCTCCTATGAGAAACATTCACACTACATTTTATAATGATCATAAGAATATATATATATGAAATTAAGATATGTCTTACATAATAACAATTACTGAACAAGGGCTTATACCGCCACTGCCTCCGTTATCTGTACTCGGGTTACCTGGACTCAGGTAACCTGGACTCGTATTAGGACCAGGGCCGGGTCCGGACCTTGGTCCTGAATCTTGGGGGCAAGCATATTTTGAAACTACTGTAAAACCCTGAAAGAAATAAATTATATAATAATCAGAAACGTAGGTAATTGTCATGTGCAATTGTACAGAATAACAGGAGATGGTAAACTTGGTATTTCTCCATAGCGGTATTGTATCAGTTCTATTAATAAAGACAATTTGTTTCTATTGACCATTTGAACGACAGACCACTGTTTTCTTGGTATAATTCGGAGGAACAAATACAATATCGACAGACAATTTCAAATTAAATGGTCAAGATGTTTATAAAAGTGAATGAAGAATCAACGAAATGCAAGAATTTCTTAAGATTTATTTTTACTTGATTAAACTAACAAATCAACCCATCTATACTTAGATGGGCATAATGTCACTTTAAAACAGTTTTCCTTTATTTTACATTTTTATGTAACAACATATTTGTCATTAATTTAAATTGAAATTTAAATGTGAAATTTTAACCCTTAATTTGCTGGAAGTGAAAGTAAGTGTAACTAGAACTGCAACTGTCAGGGCGTGAATACCCCCGCATACCGCTTTGTCAGAATAGTGGTCATTTCGAGCTCAAGGACAACCTCCCAGCCAAATCTGTGGGTAGTAAATCAGTGCATGGCTAAAATATGTTCTCTACATGTTTTAGTGCCAAAGATCAAAGTGACCTTGACCTTTAACCTAGGGACCTCAAAATCAATAGGGGTCATCTACTAATCATGACCATCTCAATACCAAATATGTAGTCTATGCTGGAAAGGATTATTAAGTTATTGGGAGGACAAGGAAAATCCAACGGACGGCAAGACTTTGTTGTTATGGGGTTTAATTATTGTCGGTTAATGATCATTTGAATCGTTATTGAAATAATTAAAAAAAAACGCTTATTTGAGTTTGGCGTTACATAGCTTTCATCCTTTCGACCTTCCTCAGCGGCATTTATTATGCATACAAATATATTCAGACAAATCAAAGGCAGTTAGATTGCGAATAGACCGTTCTAACAAATACCGTTACACAAATTCAGGTTAATTATAAAGTCAGCAAAAGTAGAAATCCTATACATACATATACCGTGGTACTTGTTTCTCCCTGAGCAGTGGCTATGGGAGGGTCAGTGTTGGGGTCACATTGAAAGGTCACCGTAGAACTCCTACAAGAGAGAATTTCATTAATCCATAGCAAATTGCTTCACAGATCAGCTCTAAATACTCACGTTTTGTTGACATTAAACTTTACCTAATTCTTGGAAGCGATAGAGCCGCAATTCGGTTCACAAATATTTATAGGTGTGTGACGAATTTCGGTTCACAAATATTTATAGGTGAGTGACGAATTCGGTTCACAAATATTTATAGGTGAGTGACGAATTCGGTTCACAAATATTTATAGGTGAGTGACGAATTTCGGTTCACAAATATTTATAGGTGAGTGACGAATTCGGTTCACAATATTTATAGGTGAGTGACGAATTCGGTTCACAAAATATTTATAGGTGAGTGACGAATTCGGTTCACAAATATTTATAGGTGAGTGACGAATTCGGTTCACAAATATTTATAGGTGAGTGACGAATTCGGTTCACAAATATTTATAGGTGAGTGACGAATTTCGGTTCACAAATATTTATAGGTGAGTGACGAATTCGGTTCACAAATATTTATAGGTGAGTGACGATTTTTACAATGCAGAATGCAAACATTTCTTCTTCTTAAGTAAGGGTTGTTTAATGAAAAACATGTAAACATGTAGAAGAAATATATATATAATGCTACTATATATAAAATTGTACATAGATTGATAAATGAAGTGTGAAGAAGGCCGCTTATCAAATGCACCAAATAAACGAAAGTCTCAGCTGAGAGAAACCTCAAGTGTTGAAAAAAAATCTTGGTATTTTTTTCTCAGGTAAGTAAAAATCTCATTCAATTTTGAGACAATCTTAGGTTGAGATTTGTCTCAGTTTGAGATCATAAGTGAAAGCTGGGCCCGAGCTCCATCGATCTGATTTTCTTTTTAAGTTATTCTTTTGCAAGAATTTATGGAAAAATACATGCCTGGCACCGTCGTCGGCAACATAGGTTCCAATGATGTTCGATCCGTCAAATGAAAGTGTAACTTTAGACGAATCTCCTATGTTGTAGTATATGTTATTGTTTAAATCGTACTGGCATGCCTGAAAATGACACAACATTAAATTATGGGTTTAAGCTGATGTAAAGCTCCGTATAATCGCCCGTATAATCATCACACCAATCACTATTAAAGATCCTGTATGTTGTAATTGAGGTTGTATACCACACTTAAGTGAAATCATATATATATAAGTATATTTAATATATATATAAAATTATGCTTATAAAACAATTTTCAAACATCGAAGACTATGTAAAATATGTACTGCAAATATTTGTTCATATTATATGTAATCATTACAATATATGCATTCATTTCTTATTGAAAAAATTGACTTAGACTTTATAGAAAATACAATTCTTATTACCTCCCTTTATTTACATGAAATGTTAAAGTCGGTAATATCTTTATAAATAATGCTTTTTGGAACTTACAACAATTGAAAAATGTTAATTTGAGCATCATGTTTATGATACAAAACCATAAAAGAATTGTTAAAAATTGTGCATGTTACATGATCTTTAATCAACGATCGGTGATAATGCATTTAAAAATACGGTAATAGCATAGCGTTTGTTCTAAGCTCAAGTGAAGTGTTTTCTAAAAAATATCTTGAAATATTACACTGAATATAATGAAAAATTTATAAAATTCACTCAATTTCAATGAAACTTGATGAATCAAAAAAATGTAAACAAACCGCTGCGTTAACACATGTGCCTTCTGTAAATGGATAGCACGGGTTGAAAGAATATGCATAGTTATCTGGAGCAAAATGGTCCTGCATTCTAAAAATAGCAAACAGAAAATAATTCCATGATCCGTATATACCGTATGTTATTCATGGCAATGGATATACCGTATTAATACGGTAGATAAGAGATATTCTATAGTTCATTTACGAAAATATATGCCGTACTAAGTTCATAACAATCGGTATAACATTTTTGTGTTCATGAATTGCCTAGATAAATTTTGAGAAATTTAAGCCCTTTTCGGTTCTCTGTATCGCTTTTCAATAAGGCGGTGATTTTACAAGGTTTAATTCGCCTTGTCTTATTAGCATTTACTTGATCTGTATATAGAAATTACAAAGGCGAAATATGCCTAATTTTCATAAGTTGATCTTAAAACATCTTAGGTTAGTAGAGTTTACATGGTAAATATAAATAAAATCACATACAAAGGCGTGCCGTCCTGTCTACCTATAGCAGATAAATCCACTGTTCCACTGTCATCATCAAACGTACATTTACAGTTTCCATCCTGATTACAAGTTTTTCCGTCACTAAGTCCAATAAATAAAACACTAAATATAACGAGGTCTGTAACTTTTGAGCTATGCCTATACTTGGCCGTTGTACGGATTAGGTCAAATGCCTTCGCCATCACTTTAACTTAAGCCTCGCCTCTGTTTTTATATGGAAAAGTATGTATCAAAATTGGCGTTCAAATTTAACACACACATAACTGTAAAGCAACAGCTTTAAATAATTGAGTGTATAATGATTATAATAAATAATAAAATGAATAAAATCTCGAACAAATAACTTTATATTTACAACAAATTGAAATGAACAAGTAATTTCAGTACAATAACAGTTAGTCACGAGATTATTTCTCAATTTTCACAGTGTTATCTGTGTAATTTAAGCTGGGATGACGATATAACAATTATCAATCATATGTTGCACTATATCAGAAATGTACAATGATAACAAATAGAGATAATGTCTGTTGTGGTACATAGCTATTTATAAATGTACCCGATACAATGTGAGAATATATATGACATAAACATACAGATATCAAACTTTATCACGGACATCCTTTTCATTGTGACGCAAATTTCATTCATATCTATCTTCATGACTGTATTAATTCTCAAAATAATATTTATATTAGAATAGTTGTATGTACAGAAAGAAAAATGCACTGATTTCTTTATTCATTCAGGTTAACTATTACACCACTGTTTAATGGGCTCTACGCTCTACGCTTTACGCTCCCTTCGCAGCTTACTGAATGCACTCGCGCTACTTCAGAAAGTGAGCGATAGTGGAACATTCGACCGATGCGCAGGAGAGTAAATGAGCTCATCCTGTTGTATGTAGGAATTGTAGAAGGTAGTCATTCTTTGGGAATGCATTACTTAAAAAAAACGAAAATAAAGAATTGGGTCGGTAGAACAGATTTTAAAGGCCAGTATTGCCCTACAGGGGACACAAAAAGATAACTAATATTAAAGGCGTTTATATGTACACATGTCATGTACAGGAATAAAATACTACACTCAACAAGAATATTTGCCTACTTGCTCTCTTCAAATAATCTTCCGCAAAATATGTTTGAATTTATTGTACCTCGGTTATAATGCAAGTTGTTACAACCAACTTGATTTACAGTCGGACTTGCGTTTCGACTTGCTAAAAGTGGTGTCATACAAGAAAACATGAAGGTGACCGAAATAAAGTTTGAATCTACGATCAAGGGTTACAAGGGACACATTGAGTAAATTTAGCTTTATAACTAGTAATATGTAGTAAGAAATAATACCATCAAAATGAGAAATAAGAAAACGGTTTAACACTTTAATAAATGATAAACATCAACTGCAACAAGTAATATAAGAAATAGAGAAATAGAAAAATAAATAGCAAATAAAAAACACCAATACACTATATCAAGGCAAAAATGCCCTGTAGATTCATCTTGTTAATGTACACGAACATCGAATTAACACGGTGTGACAATGACGATTCTATAGTTGCTACAAACCATCCATTTTTGCATCCATTTTAAAAAACCAACAAATTCCAGCTGTAAGCCAATAAATGTATATTCATATGCATTAGAAGTCCATTTATAATAATAACTAAGTAACGATAATAGAATGAGATCATTTATGTTACATTCACATTTTCAACCCCTTCAGCGTTCTCAGCCTCGTTTGGATCCGCTGCCTTCACTGGAGATGGAATACCTTCAGGATAAGCATAACCTGCCCTCTGCAAGTCTCGCATTTGTTCAATAAGTTCACATTGCTGCTTATACAATTCCTGCGTTACATTCGGGTCAGTCTTGTTATTTTGCTGTAACACTATGTCTTTAAAAATGTCAATTTGTTCCTTCTGCAGACCGTCAACTTCATCCTGCCGATCTTGGTCATGAAATGCATGCCAGACTGGATTTGCCTGGTCAAAATTAACCTCTGTTGCTTGAAGCTTGAAATATGCCAGCATCTGCTTTTGAGCTTTTTGTAAAGCTGAAATATCGTCTTGATTCCGTTCGATGGGGTCCCTTAATGCTCCTATATTAGAATATTAAAAAGAACCTTTTTCATTTTCTTGAAGACCCCGTTCGTATTAAACAATTATGTAACTGAACACAATTATTTAAATAGGCAAAAAAAAATACACTTGGAATAAAAAGCAAGTAGCACGCCTCCACCAAATTCATGCTAGAAAATTGTGAAAGCGTTCAAGCTTTCAAAATATCATTACGAACAAACAGTTTTGATTGATTGAATCTGTTCATATTAAATAATGGAATGCAAATAAAGATAAGTTGATTCCATATAAAAAACATCATTAAGTTTTATCAAGATCAGATTATTCTTAAATTCTTGTAAAAGTTATATTTCAACGTAATAAGCTCGTCCTGTAAATTTACAAGCTCGTTTCTTTGTTATCTTTTCTTGAAAGGCATTATTGAAAACATAAAAAATAGTAGTTTTGTTCTAACCCACTGGCGTTCCCATATTGTATTTTAAATATTCACAAGCCCATTCATGTATGATACAGCCTGAAACGATCATAAGGAAACGTCACGCTTTATATTTTTCATAAATCCTTGTCTAAATAGCAGTAACATCGACTTCTTTAACGTATTTGTAAAACTATTTTGATTTGATATGTCTTCAAACGGATGTAAGCGATTTTTGTCACATCTTTAATAATGCAACTATGTTTAGCGGAATAAAATATTAAACCTTGAGCTCCGATAAACTGTAAACTCTAAACTCCAAAATAACGTAGACTTTTGATGTAAATGTTATAGATTTCTATATTTCAATCTATAAAGTACAGTAATATATAATATACAAAATACACAATCATGAATTAGCACATGTCCAGTTTATTCTTACAAAACATTAGAAAAAAATAGTCACAGAAAAACAACATACAAAACAAAAGGGTCACTGTGGTCTACGCAGTGCAGCTAATTGCTTGTGGCAAAACGTTGTTAAGTCGACGAATCCAGTATGTCTCACGTGATTTGCGTGCTACATCAGACCACTATGTGTTCAATACAACAGAGGGACACGTCTTTAAAAACAGTGTCCCTCAAGGACGCTTGAGCCATCAGGAATCAATAAAGGAGACTAACTTAACATAAATCCTCACTCATATCTCGCAAATTGCTTGAAACCTTCCTTAAATAATCAGGCGGTGCCGGGGAGGGCACTCTCTCCTGTCGTCAGGGAACTTTTTTAGATTTAGATTATAAAGCATACTACTTGATAAAAATTGCAATTTTTTGACATTTTACGTTTAGTAAATAAACACAAAACGCCTTCATACATGTAGTTTTATTCTTTTGTTAAAAAGTTTAATATTCCCCAAGATTCGATATTATATCTACGTTACACTTCATTGTCCGCAGGCCATATATTCTTTTGTAAAGTAAAACAACAATGACCATTCAATAACGGTCTGTTCATAATCCATGCAATTTTATCACCTTTCTAGCGACTTCGTGTTGCACACGTAAAGTTATTATTTACATCTTGATTTTACTACGGCTTTTGACTATTTAGTTAGAGGTAAAGGTGTATTGTAATTTGAGAATTGTAATAAGTGGAGATTAACTGTTAATATGAAAAAATCTAAAATAATGATTTTCAGAAAAGGCAGACTAAGACATAATATTTCATTTGTGTATAAACGAGAAAATTTGGAAATTGCCGAAAAATTTACTTATTTAAGGGTAGTCTTAACAACTGGTTAATCTTTTAATACTTCTTTTGAAACACTATCTGATCAGGCTTTGAAGGCATTATAGAAATTACAACTAGATTTGATTAAATTTCCATTTATAACTGGGAAACATAAAATACACCTTTTTGATAAATTAATTTCACCAATTTTGAACTATGCTTCAGAGGTAAGCGGTGTATATGATTGTTGTAAATTAGAAAAAGTCCATTTAAAATTTTGTAAAAAACGTAAGTAATCAGAAAACAAACTCAGAACAATTTTTTTATTGAGAACTAGGAAAAATAAATTTGACATGCAGACAAATTGTATAATTTGAAGCCAGTATTTTATTACATATACAACTTGAAGATGTAAAATATGTTAAAATAGATTATGATTTATTGTACAGGGAGTTACATGTAAGACCTTACAACAAAAACATGGGTAAGAAGTGTTAAAGATTTATTACAGTCACTTGGCTTTAATGATGTATGGTTATCTCAAGGTGTAGGCAAACTAGATGTATTTATTAGTTTAGTAAAACAAAGATTAATGGATGTTTTTGTCAAAAATTGGTTTTAAGAAATAAATTACTCCACTAGAGTACGCACGTGTGTTTTATTTGCAGATTTTAGATTTTCAAAAATACTTAAACAGTATTTATATTGAAAAAAAATAGAATTGAAAGTTTGTCCAAACACTGTATCACTGTTTCTTATATACATTTACTTTTGTTTGCTTTGTGATTAACTCATTTATTGATAGGATGTTATCTCTCTTTAGTATTTAGTTACAAGTAATATGATTCGAGACATATTGATACTTGTATCACTAAGAGATAGTATATGATATTATTAGTAAACGTTTTCTAATTGCTAAAAATACTGTGTAACTAAATGATATATTTGACCATTTGACTTTATTATATGCTTATTTGTTATACGTATTGTGTATGCATGGACATATTGCCAAAATTAACTCATGGAAATCTTGTAATACACCCCTTATGAAGGCATATTACGCCAAAAGTACTTGGGTATTTTTACATAAACACTGAATGAACGTCTATTTTCTCCCAATTTATGTATATATATTTTCAATACTAAAAAACAAAATATCATATTAAAAATCATTGACTCCAGAACCTAAAATAAATGATTTACAATTAAATTATCAACAAAATGATCGATATTGTATTTCATATTTTGAAATACAGGCTGAATTTTTGGTTACTCCCAGAATAAATACAACAGAGATTTTCCTCTTGGCAATTCCAAAAAGTATACATTTTACTACTTGCATTTTCATTTTTGAACAAACGTGATTTAGTTGCTAAAGTTCTATAACTGATTCTTTCTGAAACCACTGAATATAGGAGGAAAGAGAAATTGGCACTGACATCGAAGATAGAAATACAGTTTATAGTGAATATCGAGCTTGCTTTGAACTTCAAGCTAGGTCGAAGATTGAAATACAAAGTTAAATCAAAGCTGAATTTCGAGCTAGAGTTGAAATTCGAGCCAGTTCGAAGATCGAAATTCAAAATTTGAAAAGTCAAATTTCGAGCTAGAGTTGATTTTCGAGCCATTTCAAAATTCGAAATTAAAAATTTTCAAACCCGCATTTTGAGCTAGAGATGA